CCCCCCCCCCCCCCCAAAAGAAAGCCAAAAAAGCCAAACAAATTGACTTCTTTTTTTCCTTCACAACCATTCTCAAACTAGTGCAATGCATACCAGCACCCAGGAGCCCTACAGCCCCAGCTGCAGACTCACATTGTAGAGGATGTCGGTCCATCCCTCCATGGTGATGCACTGGAAGACGGTGAGCACAGCAAAGAGGATGTTGTCAAAGTTGGTGATGCCATAGTTGGGCCCTTGCCAGTACTCCCTGCAGGTGGTCCCACTCTCACATTGCCTGGCAGGAGGCTCCTCTCCGCAAGGAAAATCTCCCACCTCTTCACCTGTAAAGGAGAACAGAGGGAGAAAAACTTACTGACCAAAGCCAACCATGCAGCTGGAATTGCTGGATCCTCTTTGCACCATCACATGAACCTGGTTTGAGTTTCACGATTCCTTGGTGCCACTCTGGGCTTGCAAAAGATGTTACACTCGTACAAGCATTTATATACTGCCATGCTTTAAGGGGCAGTTAAGTGGCAGAGTGGAGCAGAACTACCTCTGAACTGCTCACAGTTTGCCCCAGTGCTCAGCCACATCATATATAGAATCATAATCATCTGGGTTAGAAAGATCTTTAAGATCACCAGGTCCAACCTGACCTACCGAGTCCCATTACTAACCCATGCCTGTTGGTGCCACCAATGAGAAGCACTATGGAAAAGAAATAGTGCAGTAAAATAAAAATCAAAGGTTTGGAAATGGTTGCGTACAAGAAGACACTGTGAGATATGGATACAGCTTCACACAGCATAGCTGACTGCTCAGCTCCAGTCTCATTGTAAGCTCCATGTTTCTACCCCAAGGTCAGAGACAGCATCCAGCAGCAGGGATGGGGCTGCTCCACTGAGCTTTGGTTCAGGCACTGCAAAAGGGGAAGCAGTCTGCAATGGTTCAGGGCCACTGGGGATGGCCAAAAGTGTCCCACGTCTTCCAGGGCCAGCTGTGAGTCATTGCATCCCTCCAGAGACATGATGAGCGCCAGCAGAGAGCAGTTTGGAAAAATAAAGTGCTGGGTTTTCAAAGTAAATAAATACACCAAGCAACATCCCTGCTTCCACAGAGTTGCAATTCTGGAAATATTAAATGGTTTTAAAAGCGACACGTTATGGTGGTGGAGCAGCAAACTCCACAAAATCAAATTCACCAGGGGGAGGAAACAAAATCAGCGCTAACAATAATTAGGAATAATCATTCCACAGAGCAAAGCCTGCAGGAGGAAAACAAACCCATCAGCGTGGCTGCAGGATGTGGATGTGTGTGCATGTGCAGCCTTTTCCTGTTGACTCAACACCTCAATGCAGGGCATCGCTCCCCAGCTCCCACCTGGGTCACTGCAGGCTTTGGGAAGGGGTTGGTGAGACAGGGCTGTGCAAAGAAATATCAAACCTGGCTTTTGCTGACCGTCCGTGAGCTCTAATAGAGAATCTCACTCTTTGGCCTTTTGCTGCTCTAAAAAAGCAATGAGTTTTTTCTTTTGGAAAGAAAGACGTTGACAGAGCAGAATTGGTCCCTACCCCCATAGCTGGGGTAAAGAGAGGAGGAAAAGGAACACACCAGGGAAAAAATGGGAAGCAAATGTGATGTCCCCTGTTTTTTAGAACAGACTCAGAGTGTTTGGCCTGGGCGAGCTGCAGAGGACATCTGCTTAAAAACTGCCCTGTGTCTGCAGAGCAAGGCTGCACGGAGGCTGCCAGGAGAGGAAAACAAGTCTGGCACCCACCAGACAATACACAGCTACTAATTTTTTTATCCATTTCTCATGCCCAGCTGAGTGCTGATAGCCTCAAATGAACTTTTTGCCATATTTTGGTCCCCAGCATCCCTCTGTCATAGTCTGTTCCTGCAGGTCTTCCAGGCTTGCAGGGCTACAGCAACATCGACTACTGACACTTCCACTTTCTTCCCTCCACAATGACCTGAATTCATGACTGATTCCCCTCATCTGGTCTCCAATCCCAGGAAAAAATCTCTGGAGATTTCTCACTTTGAGGACTTGAATAGACACCAATGTGAGCAAGTCCTCATCCACCAATTTGCGACCCTTTGACACGGGTCATCTTTTTAACGAGGTTCACATTCACAGGCTGAAGTCAGCTTTCTGAGCCTGTGGTCTCAGGCCTGTGCTCCTTAATGCACCTCTTTGGAGCTGATGAGCACTTAGGGTTTAAAAGGCTGCGCTGACAGCATTGTGGGATGCTCTGCTGCTCCGCTCAGGGACTGCAGAGCCAGGAAGCCTCACTGCCTTTCCAGAAGCATCATTTCCTGCCAAGCAGGTGGCATCGATCCCCATAATTCACCCTACAACGAGGGGAGGGGAAAAATAGGGTTCAGTGCCTGTAAGCAGAGCCGCTTTCTGCACTACTGAGATGCCAGGTGCTGCGGGGCAGAGATGTGACACGCAGCATTTTCTGGCTGCGCTCCCAATTCCTGGCTGGGGGTCACTCAGCAAGCTGCAGTCGCTTGCACACCACGGGGCACAGTGACAAAATCTGTTCTCAGCCCCCAGCTTGGCACTGAGACCTCTCAGTCATCGCTGATGTCAGGGTTGTTTGCAGAGAACAGAGGGCTGGGGTTTATTTTTCCATTCCAAGCTAACTAGTTTTCTGGGGAGGAAATATGAATATATCTGTATTATTTTGCCCACTGGCTGCAACCACCCCAGCAGAGAATGAACTGCAGAGCCCAGAGCTCCCAGCCTGCAAGATGAGGGTGCAAGAACTCACCCAGCTCATTCTAGGGCTGCAGTGCAACAAATCTGAAAATGCTCCTCAGAACTGCACATCTTTACTTTTTGTTATTCTTAATTGCTTTCTCCTTGCCATCTCAGCGAGAGCACTGCCACTTCCTGCACCTCTGTGCTCACTGTTACTGCTATTCCTCTGCAGTCGTTGCAGTGAGCTGAGACTTCTTCTGCTTGGCACCAAAACACACACACAGCAAAACAATTTTCCTCTCCTACCACTTCAGCCTAAAAAATTCTCTGACAGATCAGTTGGACACCAGCACAGGCTGCCCAAGGGGGGAGGTAGAGGTGTTCCAGAACTGTGGCACTGAGGGACGTGGTTTAGTGGACAGTGTTGGCAGTAGGTGGACGGTTGGGTTGGATGATCTTAGACATCTTTTCCAACCTCAGTGATTCTATGAAACTCCATCTCTTCTAGGAATCACTCTGTGCTGCTCACAAACAATCTCTAAACACCCAACTGTCCTTTATAAGCTGTGTTCTGTTTTGTTAATGTTTCTTAGGAACATAAGCAAGAAAACAATTTCTCTCTCTTTTTGCTAAACTCTGTGTAAACTGAATATATTAAACTGTTTCCATGTTGTTCATTATAAATCCTTGTGAAGGATGCCCAGAGATTTGGCTGGGATGTTCTTTTATTACCATTTGAATGCACATAATAAATCAATATGAAGACCTATTAGCGATAATCACTGAAAATACAAGACTGTGCTTTAAAGACAGTCAATTATACCTTAAATTGCAATCTTTTGGAGACAGGAACAATATTTTCATCTGTGGATAGTCCAGATAATCAGCACCTATTAGAGCTATTATAGCAGGAATATTTAAAAATTACATGGAAAAAAAAATGGCTTTTTTATTTTAATTGAAATGAGTTCAGTGAAGCTGAGCACCTGTTGCACTGGCAATGCTGCATGGTGCCTCCTCCTATCCACCTCATTCACCTTCATGAGTGCTCCCTGCTCTGCTCTGTTTGAAGGGCATTTTTAACCTTTCTCCATCAGAGGGCTCCTTGCTTTTCAGCTATTTACCTGTTTGTTTTCTCAAATTTTTGGGATTGCTCCCAACCTTTCCAATATTACCAATGACACTGACATCCTCTGATACCCACACAACTTGTCCAAGAGATCTTGCAAGGAATTTTCCCTTTCGCTGCAGTTTGTAGGGCTAAACCCACTGATACCAAACAGAGACCAACAAGTTGAAATAAAAAGCTACCCTTCAGTGTGCTGCAACCATTGATATTTGTTTCTGTATATCTATTATATGCCTCTCTGGAGGTGCCTGTGGCCACGGATAGAGTCCTGGGCTGCCTGCTCTGGTGGGGGGCAACCAGCCCATGGCAGGGCAGTTAGAACTGGTGATCTTTCATGTTGCTTCTAACCCAACCATTCTATGATTCTGTGATTCTGTGATGATTGTGAAACAAGTCTCCCATGAGAGGAAGCCCTGAACACCTTTGTATCATTCTTGTGTAGACTGACAGCAATCCACTAGCACCGAGAGGTGGTGTTGAAGTGGCAGGAGGATCCATCCCAGGGTGCAGAGGGTGAACAGAAGTCTGTTAACTCAGTAAAGATGGGAAAGGAAAAGCCATATGAGAGCAGGATGGAGAAAGCAATCTTATGGATAGAAATGGAGATGGAAAGCATGGGATCTCAGAGTGCCATTGAGATGGCAGCAAAGCTCCAAACTCACCTGTCTCATTTGAGAAGCAGGTTTTGTGAAACTTCCCCATGTAGAACTCCAACCCGATGATGGCAAACATCACGATGGCGAAGAAGAGGAGCAGCCCAATCTGAAGCAGAGGCACCATTGCCTTCATGATGGACTTGAGAACGACCTGCAGACCTTCAGGGACAGGGAAATACAGGTCATCAGGGAGGGAAGGAAAATGAGGGCTGGAGGAGGGGGGTGAGGCAGGGGACACAGGTCATCTAAGGGACAAATTAGGACTGGAATTCCATGCAATGCTGCTTTCCTAGGGTGCTGTAAAGAAACCTTCACACACTCAATATTTCAGACACGCAACCAGGAAAGTTATCTTTTTCTGATCTCTTTTCTTCAGATCCCAGATTCAAAGGTCTCTTAAGCTTCAGAGACTTAAAAGGACTTTAAAAGGACATTCCCTGCAGTTGGTGGAGTCCCCAAATTCAGCCGGGGGCCAAACCAGTCCCTTACAGCATCTCCCCTGACAGTGCCAGTTGCCTGAGGTCTGCTTCCACAAGACCAGCACAGAAGCAAAAGGAACAAAACCAGACTCAAACGTTCTCCCGGGGTTCTCCATCTATAGCTTTTTCACAGGCACTAAAACTCATTTTCAATTAAAACCAGGGGAGATAAGGCTAGAGAGGCAGGCGAGATGGAGGTGTCAGATAACGTCATGCAGACGCACATAACAAAATAAATTCAGCGATAACTGGCAGCTGAAAGCCACCTTGGTGGCCTGCTGTAAGGTGCTGAGAAGGAAGGGTCATCACTGTCTCACCGCCTTACACTGCTGAGGGCACTCTGAGGGCAATACAGGATTAAAAAAAAGCATTGAGATCTGCTGAAGAGGAAAAAGTACCTAGAGTGTAGAAGAAAAGCATATAAGATGATTGTGTGAATGAGCATTGAGTTTTACATTTACTACAGGGGGGAAAAATACACAGTGCTCATCAGTAAATCAAATAATGCCATATGGGAAAATAACGTTGCCTAAAGAGGTGGTGATGCCCCAGCCATGCAGACACCCACAGTCAGTCTGGACGGGGCTCTGAGCACCTAATGGAGCTATACGTGTCCCTGTTTATCACCAGGGGTTGTACAAGATGACTTAAAAAGGTCCCTTCCAACTCTAGAAATTCTATGGTTATGATTGTGCAGGTCCAAGGCGTGCCAGCAGATGGGAGAGCACATCTTAACAACGACACCCCAAGGGATCTCAGCCCCTAGCAGGGACACCAGGGCCTGGCGTTTCTATAAACATTTATATCATCACTTGAGCCCTTTATTTTTTTTTTCCTCGACACTCAGTGAGCTGATACTTGTGTTGGCTGGAAGTAATTGAAGTCAAAATTCCCCGACTTGAGGCCCTTTTCCCCATAGCAGTCATCAGCAGAAGCAATATCTTTTATTGAAGTGACTGCAGTACATGGAGAAAGACAACAATATTTCAGGTGCACAAGGTACATCCTGAGCTCCCTGAATAAAAAATATATCAGATAATAAAATAAAATAAAAAAATCAGCTTTTCCCCAAGCTTTATTTCTCCAGCATCCTTGGACGCGGACACGACAAGCATCTCCTTTTTAGATGTATGTTAGTAAGTAGTGCCTTTCTCAGAGCTAACCAAGGACCTGACCTATTTGGGCATTCAGACTAAAGCCCTGCCCATGAAAGGATGCTGATCTGGGGAAAATTTGCTGTTAGTGCATAGCGTAAACCTTTGCTTCATATCTACAGCACTGGCATTTTGACCCGAGATAGCAGCCAGCCAGCAGGCAAGGAGTTAACGCAGAGCAGAGCATCCCCTGAGCTAAGGGGTTTCCTTTCACTGGCTCTTGCTAGAGAGAAGACCTCTCTGTTCCACATCCAGAAATGAAATAGTCTCCTGACATCCAACTGTGCAGAGCAAGTGGTGAACAAGAACAAAGCTTCATAGAATCACAGCATCTCCAAGATTGGAAAAGACCTCCAGGAGCATCCAGTCCAACCGTTCACCTCTCACCAATATTTCCCACTAAACCTTCTCCCTCAGTACAACATCTAAATGTTTCTTGAACACCTCCATGGTCAGAGACTCCACCACCTTCCTGGGCAGCCCGTTCCAGTGCCTGACCACTCTCTCAGAGAAGAATTTTCTCCTGATTTCCAACCTGAATCTCCCCTGGCACAACTTGAGGCTATTCTCTCTCGTCCTATTGCTTGAAAAGAGCAGCAAGGAGAAGTGTTGGTGCTGGGTGGTCTCAGGCTATAAACAAGGCACAATTTATCCTCATCAGACTCTTCACATCAGCATGTAAAATAAACCAAGTTGCCAATGAGAAGGTAAGACCGAGTCCTTTCTCTTCCTTGCCTTAGGATTTTCTCCTCTGTGAGTTACTGGGCTGGTAAATCAGTCAGAAGTTCCAAGGTCAGGGCAAGGGGTCTGAAAGCTGTAAATTTCTGTTCTCAGAGCTTTGTATGTGAATTGAAACAGTTCAAACCCAACGACAAAGGAGCCCCAGGACAACACCCTGCCATGCACCAACGGAATGCAGGAGCGCGTTGCTACGTCAGATGGCTGCACCAAAACTGGGACAACAAAAACCCAGAACCTTGAAAGCATAAGGGAAGAACATGTTGTTCGTAAAAGCATGTTAGACCCCAAAAGGTATCGAACCCATTTGGCTGTGAAGGTGGCAGGTTCATGGCACTCACTTGGGATTCCTGATACCAGCTTCAGCGGCCGCAGCACACGGACGGCTCGCAGGGTCCGCAGGTCAAAGTCAGTCCCAGCAGTTGCTAGAATCCTAGAGTTCAAAGAAGAGAAGAGAAAGAGAAGGGAAAACGGGATTAAATGCAAATTCTTATTTCCAAAGTGTGGGCGGGCATTTTTCAGGCTGCTTCAGTTTTTATACCTGTCATTCATTGGATCTGCTGAAAACCAATAATTTGCGTGCTCCTCCTGAGCTGCTGAGCTTGACTCAGACATGGGAAAATCCACAACACCTTCTTGTTTATGAGGCTGTTTGCATTTAGAGTGGATCTGGCTGTGGCCCTTACAGAACAGCACTCTGTACTTAGAGAACACGTGCCATTTTAAGACAGTAAGAGGGAAAGAACCCCGTCAGCTTTGCTAGAAATTACCTGTCAGAGCCTTTTGCAATAAATTCAGTGATCCTCAGGTACCCATACCCAGTGTTTCATAGTATTTAAAGAAATTTCTGGTTATACAGTTTATCTCTGCAAAATTAATTTTTGCTCAGGGAATCTTATTTGAGGAGAACATCCAGAGAGTGGTGCGCGTTTCCTCTGATACTCTCACTGATATGCTCTGATATGGCTCTGAGAAGAAATACAGATCCCAAAACCAATTGATTCTTAAAAATGGAGTCGTTTCAGAAAATGAAATCACATCGGTGTTTCAGGACGCAGTGAAGGAAGAGATATCAGAATAATAGAATCACAGGATCAGTAAGGTTGGAAAAGAACTCTAAGATCATCTAGTCTAACCATCCATCATCAGCATTGCCCAGTAAATCATGCCCTTTGGTACCACATCTACAGGTTTCTGGGACACCTCCAGTGATCCCCCCACTTCCAGGGCAGCCTGTGCCAATGCATCACCACTCTTTCAGAAAAGAAATTCTTCCTGACATCCAACCTGAACCTCCCCTGAAGAAGGACATCTACAGCTTGACTGGGTGCTTGGAGCCCCAGCCAGCCTGACCTTGGATGTCTCCAAGGATGGGACATCCACCATCTCTCTGGGGAACCTGTGCCAGTGCTCACGTAAAAAACTTCTTCCTTACACCCAAGCTCAATCTCTCCTCTCTTTTAGTTTGAAATCATTTCCCGTTGTCCATTTCCCTCACAGCAACACCCAGAAACACTCTGAGAAGTGTAGAGCATCCACAACGTGCACCCAAGATCAGCCTCCACCTTCCCAGGAGCCATTTTGCTCAGTGCCTGATAATGTGTAGCTGATCTCTCAGCTGAGTGGCCAGCTGCCATAAAAACACAAAGAAAATCAAACTCAACAAGAGTTATGCAGAAGGAGACATGTGGTTTTATTATGTAGTACGTATTACTCAGGACGTCTGGCAAAGTGGGCCATGGAAAATGTGGCCATGCAGGATGGGGCTGTGCTGAATAAAAGCCCTGTCCTTGACTTACTGACTGACATAGTGCTGCTGCCAAGTGTGGGCCAGGGAAGAGCAGGCTCAGCATTGCTGTGCGGAAAGGGCCAGACTCAATCAGCAGGAGGTGCTGGAGATCAGGAAAAAGCATGCTGAGATGCTGGATGGCAACAGAGGCAGCAGCAAGCCAGAACCTGAGGAGCAGAGTATCTATTCTATAGGACACCTGTTCCTACATTTCCACGACCTGAAAATTCGTGTTACATCAGCTCTATTGGTGCAATTTGAGCAGAAGCAACAGGAGATGATTTAAACCAAGGGCTATCGTATGCAGAGAATTTAATTTTACTTTCTGCTCTCATGCCAATGATTTTGCTCCTCTTTTCCCTTCCTTCCATCCTCACAACATAATTGCTCTAAACCTCAGCAGCCAGGGAACCGTGCAACTTCACGCTGAAAGATAATCTTGAACATCCACCTCAGGTGTTGCTGCTAAAAGCACAATTAGTCTCCAGTGAGCTAAGATGGATTTGTGCTGTCATCAGGCAGGTTTGTGCCACGGGCTGAATGGGGGGGGATACTCTGTATGTTCATTAATTTGCTTCTGAGCTCATCAAGGACAAAACAGGAGTGAGTGTGGGACACCATCAAACAGTCCCAGGGCATCAGTGGCTGAAGGTCTTCATTCCAGTCCTGTCTTCTTCCATGGTCTTGGTATTAAAAAAAAACAATCTGGCAACTCTCCCTAGTAAAAAACCCTTAATATTCATTAATTCCACATCACTAATGCTGTAATTCCCTAGCTAAATAATATAGAGCACTCTACACCCCACCATCTCCTGTAGTTGGAGAGCTGGTCCATGGATCATGTCAAACCTCAGTCTGATCTTCTGACCTGTCCATGCCTACATGGCTGAGCTGTAGCTGCCAAATCTATTCATGAATCAGCCACACTGAAAAACCATAAAACCCCAAACAGATTTTGCTTAGAGAGAGAAATACACAGCAGCAAGCTAAACAATGCCACTTCCAGTGGAAGAAATGGATGAACAAGGGCATGAAGTGGTAAAATAGACAACAGCTCTGGCTCTAAAAGCCCTCATTTGAGACTTGCAGGTAAGTGAGGCAGGTGGTGAGAAAGCCCAGGTGTGTACAGCCTTGAGGAATGCATTTTGCACAAGGAGGACCAGGTGCTGCAGCCTTGCAGGCTGTGCAAATAGTGGCTCTGGGAAAGAGACAGGTAGGATCTGGGGCTGACCGCAACAGCACGACTCATCCTGGCCTGGGGCTCCTGAGACATTATTAGAACTGCTTTACACCGACAAAAGGCTGTTTACACCAGCAGTCACTTCTTGCCAGCTCCCCTCTCACAGCCTGGATGGCGGGAGCAATTGGAAACCATTGCTGGCACAGAGAGGTGGGGAGGGTCTGCTCCAACCAAAGCCTGATGGTTCACATCTCCTCTAAAACACACTGCAGCATTTGCATTTCTCTCTTTGAGTGCAACAATTCCTCTGTGCCGTTTGCCTTTTGTACAGGCTGGCCATCAGACCTTTCTTCCTCATATGCTACTGCAGTTCTAAGGATCTGGGCACGGATCCTGCTAGCTCAGCAGTGCTCAGGGCTGCTGCACGCTGCTCCTCACTTCAATGCTAACTCGGCTGCATACAGTGCTCTGTACCACCACCTCCACACTAACAAGCTCTGACATCTGCTCCCAGACACAAAGGCCAAATTTGTGATAAATGCCCAAAATCTTTTGTTCTAAGAAAACCTGGAATCAGTTATAAAAAGAGCTCATTCCTCTGGGTATAAAAGGATGCAAGGAACAGAGAGGAAGTGTCCTTCCTGAACATTATGCTAACATAAATAATTAGCAGTCTGCTTCTGGAAGTACCTGAGAGCTCAGTATTTCTCTGCACTGGTTCCACAAGACACATTACCACGCGATGCTGCACATTTCAGAGCTGCCTGATATCACTGCTATCTCCTGTTATCACTGTCCATAAATCACACTGGAGGCCACAAGAGATGCTTGCCAAAGAACCGGGGCTGGCTGCGAGTCCAGCAGCTTCAGTGTGTCTGCTTGCAAGCAGATAACACAAAGCTACAGCAAACAGCAGCAAGATAAAGAACAGAATTATTAACAGTTCCAAGTAGGTGCCTCTGCTGGACAACACCAGGTTCTGCTAGAGGAGAAATTACTGGCATAAACATAGGCATTTTTAATGGAATCTTTTCGTTTGTAGTAAACTCTAGTCCTAGAAAGTAAGTGGAAAGAGCAATTTTTTCCGACATCTTATCAGAAAGAAAAAAAAAACCATTCATAAGAACTGAGTCAAACTCTTCAGTGGGATTAGGAGAAAGATTAATACTGATGAGACAGCTTTCCTGGAGGGAAAAAGAAGAAAAGAAATAGATGCAGTTTGCCAGAAGTACAGAAGCCGCCTTGTGAAGAGAAATGGCAACCACCAAATCATACCCATGGAATCAACCCCACCTAACACAGACACCTTGACAGCACTGACCCCAAAATATGGGGCCACAGTGATTTCCACGTCCTTCACCAACACCGAAACCAATGGGAAGAAGGAGAAGTGGGCTTGTCCTCCCTATCTGTGACTTGAAGGAGCCAATACTGATGGCTGTCAGCTCTTCAGAAATATTGGCCAACCAGTTTAAAGATGCTTCCCCTTTCTATGGGAGGCCTGTGGCTGATTGCCATCTCAATCTGTGGTCTTTCCTTTGTATTTCTGTCTGATTTCTCCTCCAGGAGACAGAAACAGACCCCAGCCCCATGGCAGCTGACACCACCACCAGGATCACTGGCACTGTGCTTGCAGTAGATGGATGTCTCAGTGCTGGAGAACCCACAAGCAGTCATCTAAACATTTGACAAATGTACAGCTTAAGTTTGTTGGGAAGAACTATATATGCATGTTGAAATGAACGATTCTATCAGAAAGTTTCATTGCCTTAAGAAAAAAAAAAAGTCCTTTCAATTGATATTAAGCAGACAGGCCTTTTATTGGGTGCATTTTGAATGGCTCCAATGTCCATCCTGCACAGCAAATGGCTCTGCTCTGACTCAGGCACCAGCCCACTATCATCACATTCCTGGACTGATTACTTCAGATGCTGTAGTAGCAATTTGGAAGGAAATTTGGGGTCAGAATCAGGCCAAAGGACTCCTGGCTTTCTAGGTTTTAGGCTCTAAAGGAGCACTGACAGACATACACACCAACCAGTCCAATGTGAAAAGCATACACTCATGAAATACCAGTTCCACAAGGAGTCACAAAGTACACCTTTCCAGGTGTCAGGAAAATTAACATAAGCTTCACCCACAGGAAAATGAAAGGCCGTGACAAATGATTGAAACTGGATGTAACATCCACAGGTGCCATAAAAGCCTATTACCCAGCAAATCTGATTCTTATCATATTTCAGGCAACTTACAGCATTATAATCCTATCAGCTCTGTGGCACTCTCCAACAAGCAAATCCTGCTGCTCTGGTCTCCAGATTGCACAACCTCTGTGTTTGCCACTAGACCATTTTTCCTGACCCTGGAAGGAGCAGATGTCTGTAGTTATGGAGGAAGATGGAACATCTCCATCACTGAGCTGAACACTCAAGCAGCACCTCTTCCCCAGCCTTCCTTTGGAGCT